CCCATGGCGCCGGACTTGGCACCTCAGGCTAGCGCGGCAAGCGCGCATGTCACGAACACGGGGGAAGAATTGCCTGCTATGTGCGACTGCCAGACAAACGCCACGCCTACGGGGACGCCCACGACCCCGGCAGTGGCGTTCGATAACCAGGCCACCATGCCGGGCGGGGACCCAACGCCGACCGCATCGGAGGCGGCCCGTCGCCTAGCCAAGTTCGCAAATGACGTCCAAAAGAAGCGGCCTACCCCACTCATCAAATCGCCGCCAAAGCAAAGGCCGCCGGCAAAGAAGGCACCCATTCCGACACGAAGCCGTCGCATCGCGGCGCAACAGATGGGACACATACCGGTGTCCAAGAGGGGAGAGGTGATCACCATGAAGAGGTTGGGCTTCACGCACCCGAGCGCACAACCCTCCTCTGGGGAAAGGCGCGACTACGATGCCTTCTTCAACAGGGAAATGACGGATCAGGAGGTCGAGGCCTTGGACAACCTCTTCCAGGCAAACACAACACGCGTCGGCAAGACGACTCGCCGGCCACTCGCCGCGGCGGCCTAAACTTAGGCCCCACAACACCTGGTTGTCCTGCTGTTATGGATAACACAACTATATTGTCATGGAATGTGTGCGGCCTCAACGCGCGAGCAAGGCGGGATGCAGTACGTACGCTGGTTGATGACGTAAGGCCGTCCATAGTGTGCCTTCAAGAAACCAAGCTCGATGTAATCACTGATACAATGGTTCTGTCGATGTTGCGCATTACGTTGTCGGAGTTTGCCTACTTACCGGCGTCACAAACTCGTGGTGGCATCCTCATCGCAGGACGCCAACCTGATGTAACTATCTCTGAGGACGACGGAGACAAGGCTCTCTTCCTTGAAGAACTGGAGGCCATTAGGGATGCATGCCACGAACCATGGGCGCTGACAGGGGACTTCAACCTCATCCTTAATGAAGCAGACAAGAGCAATGACAGGGTGGACAGAGCAAGCCTGAGAAGATTCAGGCGAACGGTGGCAGCGCTGGAGCTGCAGGATCTCCACCTCCACGGGAGGTGCTACACTTGGAGCAACGAACGTGCGAACCCGACACTCGTCTGTCTAGACAGAGTCCTAGTCTCCTTGGATTGGGACACCTTGTTCCCTAACGCGCACCTGCGTGGACTGGGTTCAGAGACCTCCGACCACTGCGCTACAAACTTGGCCCAGATGAGCAAGCCCCGGTTCCATTTCGAGGTGTTTTGGCCAAAGTTTGAGGATTATGACGAGTTCATCACCTAGGCGTGGAAGCGACCCACGGTGGCATGCGACCCATTGGCATGGTTGGACCTGATGCTCAGAACACGGTGCGCCACCGCAGAGCTGGTCGGAGAAAAGAATTGGCGAGATCAAACGCAGCTTCTCATCGGCGGAGAGCTAGTGCTTGGCTAGATGCGCGCAAGAGGCGCGACGACTATCATTGGCGAGAATGGTCTCGGGAAGCAACTAAAGATGAGGTGCTTGGGCCTATCCTCATTGGAGCGATGCAATGGCGAAGGCGGGGTCTTGTTTTCGCCAGCTATCGACGGTGATGCGAACACCGCTTACTTTCACCGATCGCGAGGTAGGAAACAACGGAGCTACATCCAGACCGCCTGGCCGCAGCCATATCACCGAGGACCATAGCGACATGGAGCTGGCGCTACACAAACACTTTGCCGGGTGCGGTATGCCCGTTCACCCGTGAGGTATGGTACTATGTCCTGCAAGCGCTTCAGCAGCAAGTTCCACTAGTCTCCCAAACGACGCTCTCCTGGTGGCGCCGATTGCGGTCAGTGTGCAACGGCGATCGGCGAAACGGTATGGACTCCCTCTTCGCCCTCGTCTCCTGGCAACTATGGAAGGAACGGAACGCAAGGTGTTTCCGGGAATCGACATCGTCCGTCGGTGACCTACTGCACATCATCAAGAACGAAGCCGACCGATGGATTCAAGCCGGAGCATGCGGGCTACGTGCGCTGGCGCAAGGCTAGGTCATTTGCAGGATAGACATGGATTGTCAGCAAAATAAAAAAAAAAAAAAAAAAGCTAACGGCCGGGAGTGCAACTCTTGTATTATAAATTCTCTCTTCTAATATAATGATATGCACACTCGTGCGTATTCGAGAAAAAAAGAAAAAAAAAAGAGCGTAGAGCACATGGTGGTCATCAAATCCACACAAGATGCCAGGGTGTCGATTGCCCTCTTTTTCAATCCTGGCAAACGTGAGAATTCCGACCGTTTTCGGCCTCTCCCGGAGCTGGTGACAGCAGAAAAGCCTGCAAGGTACCGGAGTTTCACGGTGCCGGAGTTCATGAGTTCAAGGAGAGAGTATGGGCCATAACAGATCGTCCATTGATCTATTCAAGGTGAGCTCCAGCTGATAATCTGGAGAGATGACGAGTTGACGATGAGCTCCTCCTCCAGCACAAAAAGGACGGGGTTCCGTCCTGCATCCCCAAGTCTAGTTGTATCTCCATTTAACTGTTTGATCTGCTGAGCCATATTTGGTAATTGGTATTGGGACCTTAAATGGAATTCAATCCTTGCCTAAAGAAAAATTATGGTCACTTGATTTTTGATTAGGAGAGGACCTATTTATTATCTAGGGTTGATAGTAAGTTGAAGATGAATATAAACTATTAGCACCAATAGGATAGCTAATATTAAAACTACATGATTTCCAATAGTGACCACGCCAACGAGAAATCATTCGTTTGGATTCTCTCCACGATGCAAGTGTCTATAGGGTTGTTGCGCCGAGTTTGAAGGTGAATATAAACTATTAGCATCAATTAGGATAGTCCAAATAATTAAAACTATGCATAATTTCCATAGTGACCACGCCAACGAGAAATCATTCGTAGAAACTACTCTCCACGATGCAAGTGTCTTGGTCTAATAAATGTTGCCTTTTCTCTCACTTTCTCTCTCCAACTCTTATCTTCTTCCTTCCACTGCCATCTTTTCTCCTTCCTCAGCATGTGCACGCAGCATGATGCTAGCTAATGGATAGAGATGCATGTGCACGCGGTGGCTCACCTGTGAACGTGTTGACAACGAGCTCGTAGTAGCCTCTGACCTCAACGTCGACAAGGTCCACCACCTTCCCGTCCCGAAACTCCTCGACGTCCTTCGCCTTGATGAACTCGTAGTAGGCTAGTAGCACATATGGGCAGCAGCGTATATACCACGTCCTCCGGCCGGCCCGGGCCTGGGCGGACGGCGGCGCGGCAAGCGCAGCTTGTGCGGACAGTGGCGCGGTGACCTGGAGAACGCCCGCGGGAGTCGCAAAAAGAGAGAGCGGCGGCCGGCACGCGAGCGTAGCGACGCGGCCGAGCGAGCGTGGCGGCGCGGGCGAGCCGGCGAGCGCGCGTAGCGCCGGCGAGCGTGGCGGCGCAGGCGAGCGCGGTGGTGGCGGGCGAGCACGTGTAGCGGCGGCCAGCGAGCGCGCGTAGCAGCGGCGGCCGGCGAGCGCGCAGCCAGCGGAGTCAGCCATTGCGCAGCGCAGCGGCGCCGCGGGCACGGGTCGATAGAAACTACCGGTTTCCTCCCAACGCCAAAATCACGGTTTCCTCATGCATCGGTGCGAGAGAAGACTTCATTTCTTTGAGAAGAAACGGTTTCCTCCATTTTTTCTCTCTTTCCTTAATAATTAGGCTGCCATGTCATTGTTTTACTTAGTTGACATCTCATTTAATAGAGATGGAAACCACAATTAATTCCTCATTGAAAATGCCCTTAGCAACTTCAAACCTTAGATATGTACTCATTTTAGCTGTTAAATTTTAGTCCTAATAAATTTAAACAGTCCCTAAGAACAGACAACGAAACCCCAACTCTTTCCATAAGGTCCAAAGCACATGTTTTCTCATATTTTTATTTCTAAATAAAATTTTTGAAAGCATGATCAGAATGACAGAAAAATAAATCAAAATACTACCTCGTAAAGATTTCTTTATAAGGATACCTCGTATTGATTGAGATGGCCTAAGAAGATGAGAGGGGGCAGAATTAGCAATTATAAAACTAATCAGCTTAACAAAAACAAATAAGAACCTAAATAATTTATATTCAAAAACGGGTTGAGATGCCCCAAGAAGATGAGAGATTGAAATGTTGAACACACCGCCTCGGCCCCACAAAAAAAAAAATCCAGTGTGACTGGCCCACGTGTCCAGCCTATAATGACAGTGGCAAATTCGAAATTTATATACGTACTGTTTCTTACCTTTGTGCACTATAATAGATCAACTAGTTTTCATCAAGACAAAAAACAAAAAACGACAATTGATCAACTCTACAACGTATATGTTCGTTTGGGCTTGTTTGGCTGATAAGCCATGACTGAAAGTACTGTTGGCTAATTTAATGTGAGAAAAAAATACTATTCGTTAGCTGAAAAAATACTGCTTATAAGCCAAATAAGTCCAAACAGGGCGACAAGACAATGAAGCAACAGCACAGTTATGGCAAAGCACGGAACTAATCAGATAATCAATTACTTCTAATACACAATTACACGCACACATATGGTTGGTCCTGCCTAACTAAGACGGTCTCCGAAGATAGATACCCAAAACAAAAGACCTATTTCACGTTTAGATAGCGCTACAGTTAAAAGGTTCAATATCTATTTTTAGTCTTCTTCAACAAAATAAAAAAAAACCTTTATACAAATAAATCTCCAAGAGAAAGAATACTCATATTTGAGTTATACCTCTCTTTAACACTTAAAATAAGTCTTCTATATAGATACTCTATTGAAGGCTATAACTATTATGTTGGAGATCTATTTTAAATTTAGGTCTCTTGTAGGTCTCCTGGAGACAGCCTAACTGGAGTACAAATGGCGAACAGGTCGTAAACACTACATAGCAGTATTATTTACTCGCAAAATACACAGCAAAAGAAAAACCGCTGCATAATTTGATTCCCTTACTAATGTTCCCTACTCATAATCATTCAGGTCATCAAATCAGTCAGCGATCTAGCAGCTGATGGCCATCGTCTACAACTATGCTGGGCAGCTCTTCGGGGCCAACCAAGCGACTGTTGGCCACCGCCGGCTCACCGTCACTCTCCACGCTCTCGTGCCGGACAGGGCGGAGCAGCAGCCCCTGCAACCGCACCAAATAGCTTTGCCCTGCCGGCTGCGACCTCACGTATCTCGTTGCTGTAGTTACATCGCTGGCACTGGCGGATGGATGGTCCGGCTCGCTGGTCGACCGAAGATTGTTCAACGCACTCAGGTCCAGGTTGGGGAAGACGGAGCACCGGCACCGTGGGCACTTGACATTCAGTCGGAGCCACTGGTCGATGCACTCCACATGGAAATTGTGCGCGCATGGGAGCCCACGGACCTGCATGGACATGGATTGGACTCATGAGGATACATAACTATTAAGAGCCTATTTGGATCCATCAGTGCTAATAGTTAGCAGCTAAAATTAGCAAGTGGGGATCAAACAGACCTGCTAACTATTAGCAAGTGCCAAGTGGAGGTGCTAATAATTAGTTTATTAGTTGATGGAGGGATGCTAATAGTTCATATACATCTCCAATTAAGTATCCAACCACCTAGTAGAAGGTGGATCTAAAGATCGCCTTGCTAATAATTAGTTAACTAATGCTTAATACTCCATCTGTTTTATCGTTTTAGTTTTTTTAAATACATAGATTTTATTATGCATATCTAAGTGCATAGCAAAGGCTATGACCTAGAAAAGCTATAATAACTTGCAATTTGGAATAGAAAGAACAGTTTTCAGGTATTAGCTAACTACTCTGTTCCAAATTATAGGTCGTTTTGGATTTTCTAGGCACAGAGTTTTGCTATGTATAGACATAGCGTATATCTAAGTACATAGTAAAAACTATATACCTAAAAAAGCCAAAGCTATAATTTGGAAACGGAGAGAGTACCTATTAGCACTAGTGGATCCAAACAGGGCCTAAAGCGATTGATGGCAGGACAAGTCTATAGGAGTTAATTGTACCTCATTGCCAACATGAAATTCTTCAAGGCAGATGGGACATTCACTGCAGTCCGTTGGAACAGCTTTCAGCCTGAATTTTGGAAGCTCTTGAATCAGTGCCTCAACTGCTTCTCTCTGCACAAAAAGGATCCCTCAAAATTCAATGTATAATCCATTGAAGGAAAATTTTGGTTCTATTATAATGCTAGTATAAAATACAGCAGATATAAGATGAGGTAAATGATACTCTAATGATGTTCTATAAGTGGAATTAAAAGAGTTTCAGTATACTTCCCAAGGACTAGAGAAGAGCACTTAAAAATTCAAACATTCAAGCTAGGAGCTTCAGCATTGATCTTCTAGCCCTTGAATGCAGATCATAATAAGGTACCACTGAACAATAGTAAATGTTCCGTAAATCTCTAGCCCTTGAGCGCTTCGGTCTCTCTGTAGAATTGCCACATTGCTCTTTTTTCATAAAATTACAGAATGTTCATTTCTAACAGTCAAGAAAATGCATAAATTTGTTAATCTAGACCTATTCCATGACCATACTGACAACTAAAAAGTCATGCCACCACTGAATCTACAGCTAAGCATATAAGGAAATATTTTAGCCATAAAGCAAAAACTTGTGCAAGATCACCCAAAACAATTCACCTGAGCTGCAGTTAAATAAAGACCAGGATGATATGCAGTATCTTGGCCCACTCTCATTTCCAGGCCAACAGCCTCAAATGCCCAATCAGGAACACGGATCATATCAACCAAAATCTGCACAAGTGAACACCTTAATATATGTCACCAGAATAAACACACTCAATTATAGATTGAGAAACATGTACATCCAACCAAAAAAATATACAATCTTGCCCAAGAAAAAAGGCAGTTTAGGCATAAGAACCCCCCCCCCCCATGAAATAAATTTATATAACTATGTTATGTAGGTACACTTGCACTAAAATATTATTGGGGTGTATAAGTTGGACTTAATATGAAAACACTAACAAAAATGTTGCACGAAAAATTTTGATACTTTCCAACTGCAGTGCCAACAGCTCATTTTATATTTGTGACAGGATGCACAGAAAATAGAGAAAAGCATTACCCCGTATTCAGAGACTGGAATTCCTTGTTGTGCTCTCTGTTGAACTGCATGCCTTCGGTTTAACCACTACAAAATAAAACACATAAATTGCCCACGAACTAGCATTAATAAAACACAAAAATTGCCCACAAACTAGCATCTATTCAAATAATCTTCAGAATGATCGAAACCACAGTAATATAAAGTCAATAACATTATGCCTCCATGTGAGATTTACACTTCTGCAGGAACATACCATTATCATATGTCACATGCATGTTAAAGTTAAATGTATAGTGAAAACTCAAAACAAATGAACACCACCTTTAGTGTTTTTGTTAGTATGTGAGGTACGGATAATCATCAATATAGCAAGATTAAGACTTTACACAATAGTGGATCAGGAACATCTCATCCTTCTAGTGAATCCAACGAAATTGCATCAATGTCATAGCACAGAGTTCATCTAAGCACAGTTATGCCCATTAGTAGAGTCATCAATGCGCCTGAGTATTGTTGGGGATGAGGCATGGCCTAGTCCTACCCCCCCCACCTCTCACACCAAACCCTAGAGCATATCCCATCTCTCTCCTGTTTGGGACCATGTTTTCTGATCGTCCGATTAATCGCAATTAATCGTCCTTATCGGTACTTAGCACTTGATTAGACCCTCCGATTCGATCAGAGCGATCAGAAACTTGATCATCCGATTAATCGTCGATTACTCACGATTAATCATCCGATTAGGTCTCTTTGCCGATCAGCACTGATGATGAAGATGATGACCATGAAGCACAAGTTCAGCCAGATGCATCTAATGCTGAAGTAGGAATGGAGGTGGATGGAGACTCGGGTGGAGATGGAGGAGGCGGCTTCAATTTGGATGATGATTTGCTTATTTAGATTTAGATGGCTGCTGAATGCTGATTGAATGGCAGCTAGTGTTATCTTAAAAACTCTGAATGTTGTTTGCAGTGTTTAATTATTTAGTTTGTAGTATGTACTCAGTACTCGTACTATATTAAGTAAGCTGTGGACTATGCTAGTTTTCTTAATTCCTACTTTTCTGGATCTGGATTGAGTATGTGCTGCTGTAATGCTGTCAGTCTGTCACACTATTCTTTTGCATCTACTTACTCAAGTTATCTATTATTCCTGCAGAAAATCAGCAAATATATGGAGGCTGGGACAAGAATATGGAGTCAGATCTCATAGGTAAATAACCAACTAACTAGAAATATGCTCGATGTCTACTATATAAATATATAGTATATGGTATATTATATATATACCATACATATATGATATATACTTATATAGTCCTGCTATATGCTGGACGATTATATGGACGATTAGACCGATCAGAGGTCGATTAATCGTCCTGATCGTCCTAATCGGTACCAGACCGATTAGGAACGATAAGCCGATCAGAAAACATTGGTTTGGGATATTCGTAACTCCCAACACTAATACTAGGATTACCTTTGCCATTGGTGATTGAGTTATTTGTTCTATTTGCAACCTGCTCTGGCCTCAACTTTTGAGGTATTGCAGGATGGTTTGACTCTCTTTTTTCTCTTAATACAAAGAGATACGCAGCACTCCAGCATGTTCTGGAAAAAAAACTAATACCAAGATTGAAGCATATAATCTTCATGCCTAATTAGCTTAATATTATTCTAGCTGATGAACAGAAGATGTTAATACATCTCAAGACTAAATAACAGTTCTCTACAGTTTACATGCACTGAAATCGATCTTAACAACTTCAGTCCATGACTCCGTGTAAGAACAAGTCGCAATATGCCTGTACAATTCAGTTACGATGGCCAGCTCATCTAATTCCACTAACAGCATCACCAGACTAGTATTTTTTACGAATGGCATATGTGACATCGCTGTTGGACAATCATTTTTTTTTTAAAATGTACCAAGAACTTCATAGTATTACCTTCCCAATAGCTACACAAGCAATACAGGCGAGCCCACAGTAACTGAAAAGCAGCCATATCAAGAAGCCCCACTTTTGTCCTTCTTCCGGCAACTACAAAGGAAAAAAAATGCATTTAGTAGAATTCACTGTATACAGTAACACAAGTAGTACCTATATCAAGAATAAGAGAACTCACGCAGCCCCTTGCAGTGTTAAACCACAATGTTCCAATCACAGTCCAAACCCAGAGAAAGGGATAGAGAAGTAGTACAAGAACTGAGAGGACAACTATTCTTCCACAAAAACGAGCATATCTCTGTTGCCATCCAAGATCTCTACAATTTTTCACAAAAAAAAAGATATATAATATTAAGTTCAAAAAAAAGATATTATAATACATAATAGAATAAACTGACAGCCATACTTTTGCAAAGTTCAATTAGTCATCGGTTGTGGGGCAAACAAACAAGACAAAGCTTAGAAACCTAAAACAACCGTATGAGAATGACAAACATAAAGTAGCAAAAAGTATGGTAGGAAAACAGAAGGTCAAGAAACTCCCATGCACCAAGATAAATCATAAATGGCCCAATTATCATTACTTTGATCATAAGAATACAGTCAGTCAGTCACATTGAAATTCAAATATTAGAATCATGCATTCCAGAAGTAATCATCTGCCATTGTATAGAATATTTGCCAGTAACAAGTTTCATTTCAGTTTTCAACATCATATATAAAAAAACTGAGATCTCCTAATTAGACTATTTCATTAGCTGATGGCAAATTGAGAGTACTTTGGACAAAGAAAAATCGAGACTACAAACCCAATATTTTTTATTGGCTCACCATTTTTTTCCCATGTTTTTTCCTCTGCTCTGTACTTTTCACTTCTTATATCTATAATCTAATATATAGAAATCAGTAGGGACCTGGCCCTCCTGTGGCTTAATGGCATTACCATAAGCTGTAGTATTATCCACTGGATTGCAGACTATTCAGAGAGATACAATCATGGAGGGAAATAGAACATGCCATGTTCCTAAATGAACTCATCAAGTAGTAAATCACACACAACCAAAGGTATCCATCTATCATATGCATCTCAATAATCTTGTTTCCATTAAGAGTTGCCATAGAACTAACAATTTGATTAGTTTAAACACAAACAGGACCAAGGTTGCAATCAGGTGACTGCTTGTAATTCATGTTGGTGAGGTCATTACTCATTAAGAACGACAACTTGCTTTTCTAGACTCGATCAAGGGGAGGGACTTCGCCTTCAAGTAGGGGCCCACTGAACTCTGGAAAGCAGGCAGGAACCTCACGCGCTTGCTTCTTTGGCGGCCGCGGAACCATCTGCACTATTACAAACCAGGGAGGTGGGCACATGACCCATGCAGCGCCAGGGCTCAAACCCAGGCGGGGAGCGCCGTACCCAGGTGCTCAACCATCGCGCTATTAGCACGTCTACTGACAACTTGCATTTCTATTTAGCTTTTTTGGTGGCTGATAAAGCAGTGAGAGCATGAATATGATGCTCAATTGAGGCTAGGGTCAGCAAAGAAGTGTTTTGCATACATAAATACGACATGCACATGCTAAATTGCAGATCAATTAGTTTGTATCGTAATACTTTGCCAAATTAAGCAAAGAAACTAGAAGTAAGATGGGAGGTGGGCTTAAAATGACTTACAATCCCATTCCTGCAGCGAGACCATTATCAAGAAACATTAGGAGGCGGAAGATGAAGACAGTGGTGTAGTCCACCTGTGGCAGGCAAGCAGTTGAAGCAATGAATGACAGTAGATGCAATCCTCAAACTAGCAGTAACCACTGTGAGGGAGAAGAAACCAACCCTAGGAACTTACTCCCTCCAGTCATCCAAAGATGATGTTAGGACAGGATAACTAGTGCAAATTTTCGCTAATTATCCAGTCCTAATGTCTTCTTTTGATGAAAGGAATGAGTTTTTTCTATGTATCCAGATACAGTACTAAGGAAGAACAGGGGCAGGGAAGGGATCTTACCACTATCCAAATGTGGAGCGGGTGGGCACAAAGGCGATACCTCTTCCAATTAATGGAAACGATGATTCTAATCATGCATCAGATGATTATTAAGGAATCGCATTTTGCAACAAAATAATAAGAGTACTCATCAAATAATAAAATGGATGAAGTTGGTAAGGGTATCATCGGGTGAAGTAGGATACACGCTAGTGGCGAGCATGGAGAGGAAGAACCCGTCATACCTGCAATGAATACCAAACCCAGCCACTCAATCAGTCAATCTGTGACTCGTTATAGAAGAGGGATCTTCAAATTAAAGAGGGGACGAGTTAGGGAAGAAGCGGCGAGATGAGAGAAGGGGGGGGGCGCAGGCGCACCACTTGAAATCGACGCCACGCATCGGCATGGTCTTCGTTCTTTTGTTAAGGGCCGAACTGAATGAAGAACTAAAAATCGAGTGTTACGCTTTAATTGGCAATCAAAATTGAAGAAATCAAGAGGGAAAGTCCACCCGTCAATCCCACGGCCGCAATCGGCAAAACGCACGAGCCAGATTCGTTTAGGGGGCATTGGTGGGACGGAGCTCCCAGAGGCTGACAGCTTCACTGTGCTCACCTGAGTCCAGCCAGCAGGCGGAAGCACCCGGGGGGGGGGGTTCGCCGCCGCCGCCGACAGCGCAGGCTCGCCGCCCCGACGCGATCGAAGGCCTGCGCGGGGAGAGAGGGAAACGAGGAGGCAGGGGAGATTAAGATCCGGTGGTGATTCTGCTCATCGCCAGGGGACGAGCTCCTCGCCGCCGCCGCCGCAGCAGCATCTCACCGCAACGCCTTCCGAACCAGTGCACGAAAGGGAACGGTAGCAAGTAAATTATACCAAACTCCCGCACGGCAGTACCGCAAGGACTCGCAACACAGGCAGGTGAGCGAACCGAGCGACTCTCGTCTCTCCCGCTTGCCTGACGACAGGGCCCAAGAGTGGATACAGTAGGGGTGAAAATTGCTCCCCAGTATACCAAACAGTTTTTTTTTTTTTGACAAGAGTATACCTAACAGTTGCTCGGTCGCTCTCCGTTACGGGATATTTTTTATGGTTTCTCTTCTCTTTCTTACAAACTATACGCAATGGATTTATCTTAAAGACGCATATGAAAACAACCAATGTTTTTGAATCAATGACGCATCATGCTAACACAATATCTTTGAGCATGTACTCAACATAATTTTGGTCGAGGTAAACAATATCATTATCATTTTGAGTTAGTGACGCATCGTAAAAAAACAGTGCCTTTGAGGTCATGGACTCGTAAAATATTGTGGCCAAATAGAAGACTTTCCATCACCGTCAAGTCGATCTTTATCTCTGTGACTTGCCTAATTTGCTTAACCTGAACAAGCAAGTGAGTCCGGATGAAAAAAAAGCTAGAAAAAGAAATTGAAATCAAACACAATCTCGATATAACTACCTGATAGATTCCCAATATCTTAGCAGGGCAAGTTTGGCTTCTAGTGTCCAGAGAATGGTAAACGTGCTTAAAGTAATCAGGGGCAAATTGAATAAATGATGACTAACTCTGTTTTCTTGATCTGTTTTATGATGGACCTGTCATCCATTGTCTTTGCAAAATAGGCCTTCCTCTTGTTGTTAACAAGAAATACAGATGATTGTTTCTTTCCTGTTTCAAGGGGTATCACGCAGAGCTTGTACTTGCAGTATGGAATTTATGGTTAACTGCGCAAGAAAATATCCAAGCATAAATACTTTCTTTAGAAAAAATATTGACATGAACAAGATATGGCTCCAAACAAAATGAAACCACAATGTTTACAGAGGAAAACTAAATGGAGACACCAAACAAATAGAAGGTGTTATGAAAAAACAAGCATTAACGATTGTAAGTTATATCTACCAGTCTAGAAATGAGCATTTGGAACATTGAGAACACAATTGTAATAAAATTCCGGAGAGCTACAATAACCCTACACATGAGGCTACTACATGATCGCCCAAAGCTACAATAACCCTACCACATGAGCGCTCCTATCTCCCGTAGAACACATCGCTCATGAGTGTCAAAACCTAGATGCAACCGCACTTACATGTTCCTAAAAAAATGATTTATTTACAAATTCCAATTCCAATCTGCTTCTGATAATAGTATCCCAATAGCAAAGCTAGCATTCCAATGTTATCATAAACCTTATCTCACTGAAAACATTGTAAAAGATTAATGTAGAAGCATCAGTCAAACTTTACGCACAAATCAAATTTTGGATTAGTACCTATTAAGTAAACAGCATGAACACTTCTAAAAAGCAAAAATGACAGTTTCCCGATAGCTAAAAGCAAAATGACAAAAATCTCAAATCACTTCTAAAAACTAAACTAAACGCATCTCAGAGCTTGTGAACATCAGATATATACATGCTGGACGAAAGCCACTTCCTTAGCATCAATATCGTCAGTAATCCTGTATTTCATGAAAAACTGTCACATACTGTATAGCCTCAGTGCTCAATCTAGCGAAAGCATGAAACACTAATCACGAGTTCGCGAACCTTTCTAAATAAATTGTACCAAAAAAAGGACTGCAGCCCACAGGGCAAAGGCAGGAGTATTAATAGCACAGTAAGTGTCATCTTCTCTACACAACTTTTTTAATATCCGTGCAGAACACTAACCTGTGTCAGATTGACGGAATTGCAATTTGCATCATCTTTTCAATACAAAATCTACATCAATTTGTAGATTTTATTTTCAAGAAGGCCATTGGTATATTTGTTTATGTGTTGCTTGTTGGATGAGGTCACAGTCCTAGTCAGAGCAAATAAAATGGTTTTCTTTGCTCTTTGGTTGTCCTTGAGAAGATCCTTCCAAATCCCAGTGCCAACATGATCATATTGTGTTGAGGCCACGAGAGTGCCAGGATGGCATCAGGGCATATGGCAATTGGCAAACCGCAGTGGCCGGCTAGCCGGTTCCATCATCCGGAAAATCTGCCACATGCTGCATGTGTAGCAAAAATCTGAAACGATTCACTCCTAGTTGAATTGAAAACAAAGAAAAGGAGCTAGCACAAGACTCACCAGCGACGGACGGGGAGCAGAACAAGCCGCAGCAGGTGCAGAAGGCAGAAGCAGCGGCTCCTCGGGATGGGAGGCCGAACTGCGGGAGCTGCCGAGGGCCCATGGAGGCGGCCAGGCCTGCCTCTCGTCATCTTCAACCTTGAGTCCTCGACTCCCCTAGATTGAGCGCCGCATGGATTGGGATCCGCTCGGAGAGGACCTCGCCCTATGGGTGGGTCCGCCCACACTGTTGTGTCGCCATGCTTGGGGCCTTCTAGCATCGTCGCGTGTGTGCGTCGCCGCGCTGGGGCGCCTGAGCTGGGATGCCCCGCCGAGACACCGAGATGCCACGACCCCTCCACGTCCACGTCCCTTCAGCTATCGTCGCGGAGCGTGGGCGGAGGGCAGGCAGTCGTGAGGGATGCTCGAGGGTGCAGACGCGTGGGTGGGGTGGAGCGGTGAAGTGGGGAGATCGAGGGTGGGAGATCCAAAGAATATCGACCGTCGGATGTGGTTGAGTAAGGACAGAGAATGAGTGAGAGTTAATTTGGTGCGTACATTTTTAATGTCATCTTTTTCTGTGTGCGTTTTGTGGGATGGACGTAGTTTAGGTCATGACTGTAGAGGTGGGATTTGTTTGGTGGCTGTAGGATAATTTAAAGTGGTGTATTATAGGGGTAGAGATTTTGAGATTTGCCACCATACCATTCCAAACAGTCGTCACCCTGTAATCATTCTCCTAAAATCTTCATGAGAAATTGCCAACCGGTCCTCTAGTATCTTCTAAATCTGCCACCATAAGAGCATCTCCAGGAGTTTACTATAATTTACTTGCTAAACTAATCAATTTAGCAAGTTAACAAAATAAATAGCAACAACAACAACAAAGGCCTCGTTCACTTAACTGAAAAAACAAGACAAAACTAAATTGTTGCGAGAGAAAAACACTGTTCCGGCTGAAAAAAGAAGCCGAACAAGCCGGCTTTTAAGATAAGCCGAACGGGGCCCAAGCCTTTAAGTCCAAAACAAGTTGGGGTAGGCTAGAGTTGAAACCCAGCAGAAGCAATCAAGGTTCAGGCACGTGAATAGCCATTTTTCAAGCACTCTTATCTAAGGCTAAGTTTTTGGGTATATTCCATGCTTTCAAGTCTCTTTTTATTGCCTCTATCCAAGTCAACTTCGATCTTCCTCTGCCTCTCTTCATGTTACTATCCTGGCTTAGGATTCCACTACGCATCGGTGCCTCTAGAGGTCTCCGTTGGACATGTCTAAACCATCTCAACCGGTGTTGGACAAGCTTTTCTTCAATTGGTGCTACCCCTAATCTATCACGTATATCATCGTTTCGAACTCGATCCCTTCTTGTATGACCGCAAATCCAACACAACATACGCATTTCCACGACACTTATCTGTTGAATATGTCGTCTTTTCGTAGGCTAACATTCTGCACCATACAACATAGCAGGTCTAATCGTCGTCCTATAAAACTTGCATTTTAGCTTCTGTGGTACCCTTTTGTCATATAGGACACCAGATGCTTTGTGCCACTTCATCCATCTTGCTTTAATTCTATGGCTAACATCTTCATCAATATCCTAAATATCGAAAGGTATCCTTCCTAGGTACTACTTGACCTTCCAAACTAATATCTTTCTCCTCTCGAGTAGTAGTGCCGAAGTTACATTTCATATACTCAGTTTTAGTTCTACTGAGTCTAAAACCTTTGGACTCCAAAGTCTCCCGCCATAACTCCAGTTTCTGATTCACTCCTGTCTGACTTTCATCAACTAGCACTACATCGTCCACGAAAAGCATACGCCAAGGAATGTCTCCTTGTATGTCTCTTGTGACCTCATCCATCACTAAGACAAATAGATAAGGGCTCAAAGCTGACCCTTGATGTAGTCCTATCATAATCGGAAGTCATCCGTGTCTTCATCACTTGTTTGAACACTAGTCACAATATTGTTGTACATATTCTTAATGAGCCCGACGTACTTCGTTGGGACTTTATGTTTGTCCAAAGCCCACCACATAACATTCCTTGGTATTTTATCATAAGCCTTCTCCAAGTCAATAAAAACCATATGTAGGTCCTTCTTCTCCCTATACCGCTCCCTAACTTGTCTTATTAAGAAAATGGCTTTCATGGTTGACCTTCCGGGCATGAAACCAAATTGGTTCATAGAGACCCATGTTATTGCTCTCAAGCGATGCTCGATAAGTCTCTCCCATAACTTCATAGTATGGCTCATCAACTTAATTTCCCGGTAATTAGTACAACTTTGAATATCCCCTTTATTCTTGTAGATCGGTACCAATATACTTCTCCTCCACTCGTCAGGCATCTTGTTCGATCGAAAAATATGGTTAAACAGCTTGGTTAGCCATACTATAGCTATGTCCCCAAGATATCTCCACACCTCGATTGAGATACCATACGGTCCCATCGCCTTACCTTCTTTCATCCTTTTCAACGCCTCTCTGACCTCAGATTCTTGGATTCTCCGTACAAAGCGCCTATTGGTGTCATCAAAAGAGTCATCCAACTAAAAGGTTGTGTCTGTATTCTCACCATTAAACAATTTGTCAAAATACTCTTGCTATCGATGTCGGATCTCATCCTCCTTCACCAAGAGATGCTCCCTTTCATCCTTAATGCACTTAACTTGGTTGAAGTCCCTTGTTTTTCTCTCATAAACCCTAGCCATCCTATATATGTCTTTCTCTCCTTGCTTCGTACTTAAATGTTGGTAAAGATCCTTGTACGCTCTACCCTTTGCCACACTTACAGCTCATTTTGTAGTCTTCTTTGCCACCTTGTACTTCTCTATGTTGTCCACACTCTTGTCATGGTACAAGCGTCTATAGCATTTTTTCTTCTCCTTAATAGCCCTTTGGACTTCCTCATTCCACCACCAAGTATCTTTAGCCTCGCCTCCACTTCCTTTGGTTACTCCACACACCTCTGATTGCCACCTTCCAAATTTGGTTGCCATCTTCTCCCACATGTTGTTTATGTCCTCTTCTTCCTTCCAAGAGCCCTCCTTGATAACCCTTTCTCTAAATACCTCTAACGTCTCCCCTTTCGGTTTCACAAAAACAAAAGAAATAGAAACCTTAATTTTTCCTCTCCAACAGTCCCATATAATAACTTTCTAAAAGTTATAGTAGGACCCACATTTAATCTTTTTTGGTTTATTGTGTTGTTCATAAAAAATTGAAAAGAAAATTGCATCTACTCTCAGCACCAATCCGATCCCAACGATTGGCTCGGCCAACTACGTACGACCAGCAAGGAGTGCCTAGCTTCCATGCCTTCCGGCCAAGCGGTGAGCACACGTGAAGATAGCACGCCATGCACACGTGAAGGCGACAGGACATGCCTTCCAACCAAAGATCAATAAATAAATAAATAAACATAGCATTGGGCGACGACGTTGACCTGCAAAGCGACGGCGATGGAGGCAGGTACATACAAGCAGCGGCCGGACCAAAGGCTGCGTGAGAAGTTTCATGAAAATAGGTCCAAGGAGCAGAGACAGGGAGTTCTCTCGACTTTGAAAATCTAGAGCTGAGAAGCTGAAAGGTCCTAATGACTAGAGGGGAGGGTGAATAGCCTAATAAAAATTTCTTCAATAACACTTAACAAACCGGTTAGACAATTATGAGGCGAAGCAAGTGTTACGCTAGCCTACTAAAAATGCAAGCCACCTACTACAATTTTAGTTTCTATTGTCTCTATCCACACAATAGCTATGGCACTACACTAACTTAGTGTGCTCTCAAACACTAACTAAAGAGTCACACTAACCAAACTAACAAGCTCTCACAACTAGCTACACTAAAGAGCTTGATAACTAGTTTGCGGTAATATAAAGAGAGAGAGCAAGATAATTATACTGCCGTGTCGAGGAGTGAACCAATCAATCACAAGAATCAATATCAATGAAGACCAATCACCTCGGAATCAAATGATAAACAATGATGAACACAATGATTTTTTTACCGAGGTTCACTTGCTAGCCGGCAAGCTACTACTCATTGTGGCGATTCACTCACTTAGAGGTTTACGCGCTAATTGGCATCACACACCAAACCCTCAATACGGTGCCGCACAACCAACACAAGATGAGGATCACACAAGCCACGAGCAATCCACTAGAGTACCTTTTGGCTCTCCATCGGGGAAAGGTCAAGAACCCCTCACAATCACCACGATCGGAGCTAGAGATAATCACCAACCTCCGCTCGGCGATCCTCGCTGCTCCAAGCCATCTAGGTGGCGACAACCACCAAGAGTAACAAGCAAATCCCGTAGTGAAACACGAACACCAAGTGCCATTAGATGCAAACACTCAAGCAATGCACTTGGATTCTCTCCCAATCTTACAAAGATGATGAATCAATGATGGAGATGAGTGGGAGGGCTTTGGCTAAGCTTACAAGGTTGCTATGTCAATGCAAATGGCCAAGAGAATGAGCTTGAGCCGGCCATAGGGCTTAAATAGAAGCCCCCACGAAATAGAGCCGTTGTACCCCTTCACTGGGCACAACACGGGGTGACCGGACGCTCCGGTCATATTGACCGGACGCTGGACCTCAGCGTCCGGTCACATGATGTGTGCCACGTGTCCCCTCTCTTCAAATGTTGATTGCCTGGTCTCAACGGTCAAGTGACGACTAGACGTAGCAGCTCAAAGTGACCGGATGCTGAACCCCAGCGTCCGATCATTTTCAGTAAGCATCCAGAGATGACTTTTCATGATGCTCGACTAGACACACCCAGCGTCTGGTCACACGGTGACTGCCCTGAGCACTACCATGTCAGCAGGACTAGATGCACCTCTCCAGCGTCCGGTCAGAGACCGACGCCAGCGTCTTTGTAGTTTCTACTGACTGGACACACGACTCTAGCGTCCGGTCACTATGTGACCAGCGTGACCAACTCCATTTCAACTCTATCTTCTTCACCCTTGCTCAAATGTGCCAACCACCAAGTGTATCACCTTGTGAACATGTGTTAGCATATTTTCACAAACATTTTCAAGGGTGTTAGCACTGCACTAGATCCTAAATGCATATGCAATGAGTTAGAGCATCTAGTGGCACTTTGATAACC